ACTGTAAAACAAATAAATCGTACATCAGTTATAGATAAAATAAAAAGGTGGTGTAGAATTTTTAGAATTTTATTTATATCCAAAAAAGTCCTTGTTTCATATACTGCGCAGGTCTGTCTTTCTTCGTACTGTGTGACTATGTTTGTGTTCTTGCCTGTAATTTAATCACTGATTGTGTTGTTTCAGGTTACCGGGCAGATTGCAAGAGGAAATTGAATGTTTTTATGGAAGTCTGGCCTCAGGGACAGACATAACACCGGCTAATACAGTGATGGCAGAAGTTCTGCTTGACTGAATGGAACACGCTGTCGGCCTAATTAACATGCAATCACCTGCGACAGAAAATGACCGTTTGATGGTAACAATGATCCAGGCGACTGTCCTATCACAGGCGTTTTCCCCCTACACCTGAGCTAAGTTTCCTACTGTAGTCGCACAACCTAATACAGCAGAATGGAGATGGTTTCTGCCTCTATAAACACTAATATTAGATTTCTAATAATATTGGTCACTTTCACTTTACGTTAGTGGCCTCCTTCCTCACCTCGTTCCTCTCATTTTTTTTTTTACAACCGATGATGTACCATCACTGGAAGAGACGATCCTTCCTCGTGTCCTACTGTATTTGTAATGGTAAAGGATTTCACTGAATAAGAATGATTTTTTTATTTCATTTCAGTGACAGTGACATAACTCTTGCTGTATGTATGGTTGTATATTAGTCAAAATATTCTAAGAAAAAGTCAAACTCCACAACAAATCTCACCTCTGAATTTTACCCATCACTATGGTCAGCAGGGGGCAGCTTAAGCGCCAGGGGAGCAGTGTGTGTTGATGGTGCCATGCTCAGAGCACCTCAGTGGTAACTTGACAGCTGGTGGACTCGAAGCTGAAACTTTCCGGACCCAAGTTGGCTTCCTTATCCACCAAGCCACCACTGCCTCTAAGCCAAAATGGGCATTGCCGTAAACGGGGACACTATCGCAAAGAACACTTTAGATTGATATCAATATCGGCAGATACTAAAAGTTGCAGATGCGTGTTGTCCTGCCTAGTTTTATGGACAAAGTTTTGACATTTCTGTCGTCAACTGGATTTGTATTAGTTTTCCCCAAAGCTGGAGCGATACAGCCGAGGGGATCGAGAGTTGGACAATGTTCCAACGCCCGTGTTGCCAACCTCCACCTCATTAACAAAGCAGCCATAAATCTAAACACTCCACCACCATTTTAATACAATTAGCAGAGGATGAAGTGATGTCACGACGTCAAGTAAAGACCACAGAGGTTGCCCGGGAGGTTTACTGGTCTTTACAACTTTGGTGATAATGATGGATGAAAGGACGCCGGAGGTGATCTGCTCTCCTGTTAGCAGCGCGGGATAGATTAACGCATAATTCATCACATAAACATTTACTGGAGTCTTCCGGTTATATTGGCTACATAATGCAATTATTTTTGTTAATGATATCATAAATACCTGCTATGTAGGAGTACTGCAGTATTTACAACATGTTTATTTTAAATTTACTACTGTTATTATTATCCTGGTAGTATTTTTCTTCTAAATGTTAATGCCAAACATCACTCTCTCTTCTTTCATATCATAAATTCTTTCCCACTCACTTTAGTTTTGCAATATATTCCAGAAGGAAAATATTGCAGGGAACTCATGTCACCCGGTAACTGACCTCAATTCTAATAGCTGAGTCAAAGGGTGAAGGTGGAAGTGGAGAAGACTCAGGGTCGAAGCCCACTCTGACATAGACAGGAAGTCGACGGTGACGACCGGTGTGACAGTGTAGCAACAGACAGTATTAGAAAATGAGCTTCACAGTTCTGGAACTTTCTACTCTCTCTCTCTCTCTCTGTAACACTGACTCTCTCACTCTTTTCAAATCCTTATTTAAAACTCATCCGTTTGAGCCTTTAACCTACAACCATCTGCACATTATTACTGAGTGACATTCATTTTTTTATTATTGTTTTTTTTTTTTAACTGACCTTTATGGTACTTTATAGTGCACTTATTTTACCTTGTTATTAAATGTCTATTTAATTATTTTTAATTATTTCACCATATATATACATATATACTGTATATACATGTAACATACTGTGAGGCTTGGCTAAACTAAGTCAGCTAAGCTAAGTCAGCTAATCCCTCAAAGTTGAGTTTGTCCTTTACTTGTGAGACTTATTATGCCGACACACCCTAGAGGACAGAGACGTAAATAGCATTTTGTTGTCTGTGTTTTCAACTAGCTGCAGGATAAATAAAGTTTTCCCCTAGAACTGACAACATTCTGTGATCAAAAACTTCACGCTGCTGAGGACGGCAGACGTGGGAGACCAACGGAAAGAAATCCAGCCGTAAATTAGGGATCGAGAATATGTTGAGGAACTGAATTACGACCGTTGCTGATCCTCGTGCGTAAAAACGCAAGTAGGTGGCACACACAGACGCACATTAATTCAGCATCCGCACACACAGTTGTGCCAAGCCGATGTTTGGCATCTTCATGCGTTCCTGATCTCAGATCCATTATTCATCAGCCCTCAACATGCCCTTGACCGGGGTGACATACATTTCACATACATTACAGATGTAATCCATTCTAATGAGCTTCCACTTTATCTACCTGGGCCCAGAATACACACAGGAGTTCACAGCAACCAAGATAAACATCAGAGGCAGACGGCAGCACTGGCCTGTTTGGTCCTGATGTACAGTGTGTGCAAACAGGCTGACCACAACACTGCAAATGTTGACAAGCACCGCTGACAAACACTGGTGTGATTCACTTGTAGTGTGGAGTAGATGCTGCACTGGAGTGAAGCTACTGCTTGGAACTGTATCTATTATTCAAATATAAACATCTCACAATGGAGGGAAACAATGCAGTGTGTGTGTGTCCACTGACCTGTGTCCTGGTCGCATATCTGTTCACAGGGATCAGTCGTCCTCTGGCCGCAGAAGTCCTGCACCCACTGTGTGGATGAGTTGGTCTGATAGTAGAGGGTTAATTTGGCGGGGTTCAGCCAGTTAGACACGTCCAGGAAGCTCCCCATGCTGACCACAAAGCTACTTCCTGCGAAAACACAAAAACACAAATTGAAATATGACAGCAGTCGGAGAGGGAGATGGAAGGCTGTACTCCTCGATGCAATGGAGGAAAAAAAATACATAACAATTAAAAAGTAGCTAATTTGATTGTATTCACTGTACTGTGAATTCCCATCTTGACTAAGCTGAATCTAAATGAGAAAATTAGGACCTATAATGTGTGTATTGATGGGATTTCTCTGGTAATTGCAGCACGGGGGCTAAAAAGGTTTCTGGAGTCGGTTAGTAAACACTACGCTCATTGACGCTGATTTACCTTTCTTTCCTACTGCTCCCAGACCAATCATTAAACTGTGATCACTGAACAAGGTTATCCCTAATTGATGCCAATGACTTCTGCCTCTATAGGGAGCTGGGAGGAGATTGGGGCTGTGCTCTCTGGTGAACTGATAGATTTTCATACAGCCATTGGATCAGTGGAGGCAGTGGCACAGAGAAAACATGCGCATGCAGTTCTGTGTGGCTTTTAGAAAGCAAAATAGAACAAACATCCAAAGATAAAAAAGACAGTAAAAAAAAAGGAAATTCTATTTCAGTTGAGGTAGTGAAGGTTTGATTTTAGAGAGTGCAGCGATTGAGCAATGAAGTCTGAGTCACTGGACAAATGATGGCAGAAAAAAACTAACAACATAAAAAACAGAAACTTAAAAAAAGCAGTTTCCCCTATGTGTTATTGTTCTTTCAAATCCGAAAAGAATTACAGTTTCTTCTCTCTCTCTCTATATATATATATATAAAGGACGAAGATGAAGCAAATAGTGAAATGAAAAAGAAGAATAAAGAAACAGAAGAAGAACAGGGAGCAGCAGACATGGTAGATCTGTTATTTTCCTGCACCAATGTCCGTAGAGAAAATAAATATTTTAAGCCTGAGGTGACGGTGGAGTCAATGCCCTGATGCTGCTTCATTTGGTTAGTTTGGGTCAACAGGTTGAATGATAACCAAGACTTTATCACAAGTAAGTCACAAAAAATCAATTAGGGTTATTAAAGAAAGAAGCAAAGATCAACAACTCAACAATGTGCGGTGATGCAAAATCGTTAATTTTGTCTATGGACTTTTTCACAAGGGGATTAGGTATCAACAAAGATACACGCACTTTCCTTTTTGGACAGGTGGCAAAAAAATAAAATCAGACACTAAACAACGGATGTTTAATGGTAAAAAGAAGGAAAATAAAGAAAAAGAAAAAAAGGAAATATGAACAAGAAAAAATAGAAGAAGAAGAAGATGAATCAGCTCCATTGGTAACAGTACATATATACACATACGCACAAAAGAAATTTGTCCTCTGCATCATTCCCAGTGTCCTCTCTAGGGGTCTTGCCCCACTGATTTAGAAGACAGCCCCAGTTTTAAAAGTTATATATTGAGAAAGTAAAGCCACACACACACAAACACACACACCTAATTTCCCCTAAACCCTTAAAGATAAGGTTTGGGATGCTGCCCAGACGACACTGTGGGCCTTTTTGATCATTGCTGAAGAGATTTCTGGTTTCAGCAGAAAACAGAGCCAAGTCTGACATGTAGGGCAATGAAAATTTGTTTTTGTAGTTTTGGCTTAAACCGCCGGTGAGTATCTTTATTATTTTCAGATGCATCTCCAAATAAGTAGACGGCCATAGAGAGGACATTATAAAATTAAACCGGCCTCCACCGTGACATTGGCTGTGTGTCCGGGGTTATTGTCTGGATGCAGAATAAACTCCAATCCATCCCGACGCCTCTGTGTCGGTGTAGCATCATGAATAAGTATCTGCTTGTGTTTCTGGCTGGAATAGTGATGTGCTATGATGCCTGCTTCCCGCACGGAAGATTTTGGGTTTCGCAAATTCCAGGGTGGGTTGTCAGGAAGGGAAACTGCTGCAAACATTTTGCCCAAGTCACTATTAGTGATGGGTGATACCAGAGTTTTTGATTCCATACAACACCAATTAATTGTTCCGCTCTTTTTCGGATATCAATACTGATATTTGTCTTATTTTTTTTAACCCAATAAAACAATTTAGCAGCAGAGTTTGGCTCTGTATTTCCTTTTTTGAGGGATGTAGATACTGTATATATTGACCATCAACATACAGTATGTTATATGAAATTATTTTAACCTCATGTTAAGAAAGGTCAGATTAGGGATGATAGTCCAAACAAAAATAGCTGTCTGTTGATGAACTTGGAAATCAATACATTCTTACTGTACAGCAGGGATGTCAAACATACAGCATGTGGGCCAAAATCAGCCCGCTAGGAGGTTCAATCTGGCCTGCTTTATGAATTATGAAAGAAAAAAAAACACAAATCCTTCACGTCCATGATGTTTTTTCAAATTATATTTCATTAAATATGAATATTTTCTAATATACTTGCATATGAAAAACCAAGAGTTTGACACCTCTGCTGTACAGCATTTTCTTTATAACTAGCAGTACCTTTTTGTAGATAATTATAGCTATGCCTACGACACCTAATCCTACACACTGTAGACTGAAGCCAGCTCAACTTCCAAAAGAGATGGAATAGACTACAACTCTCCCCGGAAGGGTCACTTAACACATCTGCCAGGTCAAGCTGACCAGAGATGAGCGAAACAGAGCTGCTTCCATCACTCCAGTTCAGTGAACAGAAATGGCAGCGGCCCTCATTTGCCGAGAGTGTGCAGAATGTAATGGCTTCAGCTCTTACAGTGAGAAGGGAATTGTTAAATTATGGGTCGGATTCGCAGAGACCTGCAAAGAAACCCCTGGAGTGGAACATCAGATACAACAATGATTGCAAGTAATTTTGTTGTGCACCTTCTCTCTTATCTCCAAATTACTGAGCTGACTTGTAACAGATCACAACGGCTGCCATATGTGCTTTGGACTGCACCACACTGAAAGACATAAAGGCTGAAGTGTTTGGTTGGATCTTAGTATAGTTATATCGTCTGTGCTTGTCCATGTAAGGATTAATGTGTTAGTTGCAAAAATTATTTTGTGAAGTTAATCAGATGGAAAAAAAAAATCACATCTTAACACTTGAAAAAAAATTCAAAGTTTTTACACTTATTTACTCACATTGCCGTGAAAGGCTTATATACATATGTGTATATATAAATATACATACACATATATGTTTATATGTATATATTTATATATGTATGTGTATGTCCATTTACAGTATGTATATAAACTTTGATAACTTGTACATGATTAATTATGGTCACGATTATTCGTGAGTGATGGTGATTTACTTACAGGTACTCTGTAACACATATAAATGTAAAAACATTTTGAACCCCTCATAAAAAAATACTATATTACAAAGTGTATTTCCATATGGACCCTAACCCTACAGCTCAGTGATGGCTGTTAGCACCACGTTGAACTGAGGGCCCTGTTCCACCGCTATTAGCTCGTCCACGTCTCTTTCAGTTTCATGTTTACATTTTTCTTGCCGCATCTCATCGACTTCTCTTCCCGTTGAGGTTTCTGCTCCTACAGATGTCTGACCCCATCACTCGCCCGTTCGCTTATTATTTCTGCAGTAAAAACAGAGCGTTTTATAGATGGCACCTCGCACATCAGACAGAACTCGATAAGACGCCTTGCAGCGATAGTGTTCTAATACTTTTTATTGCCTTCCTACTCCTGTCCTGACTCCCCGTTTGCTGTGTGGGTTTGCTGGGATCCTTTCCATTTATTTATCTTCCAGATTTGTTTGTTTATTTGCTCTGACTGTCTGCCTGCTACCGACCACACGCCTGCCAGACCACCGGGTTAGGCCCCCTTTTATCACATCTGCTTTGCCTTTGGCATGCACATTTCCCTGAATCCCATTTCAACACACACTGTACAGATTCTCCAGAAGGGAAAAAAATACAATTTAATTGAGTCTATTTTCAAGTCTTATATGTGAGGATACATTTTCAACAAAGTCATAAATACATTTATAAACTGGCCAAATTGCACCAACAATGTTTTCTTCTGTTGTCACTAGACTCTAACAGCATGACTGTGGTAGTGTATAATTATGCATTTACAACCACTCATTAAATAGAACAGGATGTATTTGTTGCTAATTCAGTATAAATAACATGTGTTTAGTGACAAAGTAAAATAACACTGATTACAACACTGAAACCAAGGTCTTTACATATGTAAATAATGGTTCATATATACAGTATGTCTCCCCGTGTTGTTACATGAACACTTCAAATGTGTACAGAACAGAGCCTTCATCATAACCCAACCACTGGGGGAGGGGTCCGACATCTGTTTCCTCCTCATGCCTGTTCTGAGCCTGGATAAAACGGTGAGGAGTGTGACTTAACGACGACTGTCTCTGGTGTCGTTGATCAACAGCGTGCCATTAGAGAACGGACTATTGTTGTTCAAGGACCGGAGAGTGAAGAGGTCAGGGGAGGAACTGTAACTGTAGGGACAACGACTGGTAAAGGTAGTAGTGAAGAATGGTAGATATGTTGTTGGTTCAAGAAACCAGGTGGAAGAAAGCAAGACCAGGACCTTCAAAGGTGGGTTCTAGCTGTTCTACAGTCGTCCAGTCATCTATGAAGATTCTCAGTCATCCAGGTTATGGTCAAGAAGACAGTTTACCTCTCATTCAAGAGGCTTCTTCAGTTCTGGAACGGAAGAAGCCTCTTGGATGAGAGTTGAAACGTCTTCTTGAGAAAATGTCATGTCCGGTTGCCTAACGGAACTATGAAAACTAGAAGTTGAGTGTCTGCTTCTGGATGTGGTCAGTGAAGCGGAAGGGAGAATGGATGGAGACGATGGTTGGGGGATTTGATTTGAAAAATAGAAGCAAAGTTGAAGGGAGAACGTTTTACAAGACAGTAGTGAGACCTGCTATGAGGTTGGACAGGGTCAGAAAAAAAACAAATCAGACGGAGAGGTAAGGTGGAACAGTTTGGAGATTAAGTTAGAGAGGTGAGGTGGACAAAAGATGTTGGAGATGAAGTTGGCAGGATAGAGGAGAGGACGACCTCAGACGAGGCCGAAGAAGAAGAAGAAACCTATCATCTGTGAATGGCTCAGTGAGACATTGTGATCGCAGCCCAACATCAGTCTTCACTCCGACACTGTCATTAAAATGAATTTGCAGCTCTATAGGAAACACACATCTGTCCTCATTTGGCCTTATACATAAGAAAGTGAAATGAAAGACCCAACAGAACAGCAATAGTATTGGTTAAGAATGTTGTTTTACTTCCTGGAGAACTCGGGTCGATTTTAAATTAGTACTCTGTCGTTACAGGTCGTTGCCAATGTCAACAGAATTTGTTGGGTTTTTTTCCTTTCTCCATCACTTATCACTAAGAGGGCTTTGTAACATGAATCACCTCACTTTTATACTTAAAAAAAGGACATTATATCAGAACGTACTTCAGTTCTCAGAAGCGAACAGTAAAAAGTAAAGGGACGTCTGTTTTATAAGGATTTCTTTTATTTAATTATTTTTACTGAGATTTTTGTATTTTGAGCTGACACTCTGAGTCAGTAAAGCTTAATTAAACTGTGTATACTGGCAGAAGTGCGTGTTGTTTTAATTAAAGCCAGAACAGCACTTGGCAGAGTGCACACCCTCAAAATACCCAAGTTCCTAATCAACAGTGGTTGTGTATTGAGACATGGAAATAGTTCCACTCAGTTTAAGTGACACTTTGTTCACCGGAAAACAGGAGACTGTGTTTTGACTAGAGATGTGGTGTGGTGGTGCGAAAGCTCTGATCACTTTCTGTCCAGCTGGCTGTGGTAGTTATGGAGACGGTTAAACTGTTTTCATCTGTCTTTCTTAAGACTGCATGCAGACGTCACCTCACACTGCACTGTTGTACTGTTTCACCTATTTAAAAGCCCCTTTCATTATACTGCATATTTATTGATGCCAAAACTAAAGAAATATCAGCAAGTACACATGTGAAAATACTCTGAGAACATGCGTCACCTTCTCTAAAGAAGAAGAACATTAACACGATTCCACGGATCTGAGATGACTTTGTTGGTAGTACAGACACTGTATACGTATTATATATATAGTATTTAACCTAATTTAGACTAATGTACTTTACAAAAATACTGTTATAAAATAAAACAGTGCCGGGATTTCTATTGCAAATATATATATGCAAATCGATACTTAAAAAAGTCTACTCAGAACTACTTAAATCAACCCAAAATGACTCCGGTATCAGTAAAATTCTAAAAACGCCTCCTCCGTTTTACAGCCTCGCCTTTTCATTGAACGGGTGTTCGCCTTAAGCACTTAAGTTTTTCTTGTGTTTTGGTTTCTATTGTACACCCACTGCCACACAGATCGCGGGGGTGGTGTGGGCGGACTAGGAATGAGGCTTCACGGGCAGGAGCACCTGACTGACTGATATGTGAATGCACTGCTCTCAGAGATATGGGAATCATTAGCTAAATTACCCCTGCTCCTCACTATCTCTTACTTCACTTAACTCTTTGCACATATTCAATTTTTCCACTCCCTGCAGCCGCTGAGGTTTGTACACCGTTGCCTTGCCAATACCTAGTCCCAATTTATAAATATTTCATGGCCGGAAGGAATTTGAAAGCGTCTCAGACGTCTGAGCGCTCGTCTGGGCAACCATCCCTACATATTTAATTTAACAAACTTGATTTATATTTGTTTTTGCAAATATGGAGTTGGTTGTTTGGTATCATCTATTTCCTTTGTGTTTTTTTCATGTACATTTGTGTTCTTTTTATTGTATGTCGCAGAGAGAATTTAGATTCCCTCCTGCAGCACACGCAGGAAAGACGAACATTTTTAAACCCAAGAGCTCTTCATCAAACTGATGGCTAAAAATGCCACTCTCTGTCGTACGCCGGGGTAATAAATCATTTTGTTTTTCCTTCCAGAGCTTTTGGTTTGTGGACTTTATTGTGCTTATTCTCAATCAATTCAGGGTTCCAGCGCATTATTTATTTATTTGGTGGGGATAGATGTGTGTCTGTCGTACTCCATCAGTTGTACAGCAGGTGCATTTGCAGTGATATAGAACGCCAACTGAAATCCTCACATCAAGGTTGAGAGGCTGGAAATTTTACTGCAGGCCATTTGTAAAATAGAAAGAGGGGGAGAATGCCAAGCTGTCCCTGGTCCATTAGCTGGTCCTCCTGACATTAGCAACCATAAACATTACAGGATGGTATTTTCCACCACTCAACAACAGCAGCAAAAAAATAAAAACAAATACAGTGATCATTCGGCAATCTGCAGATGCAAAGCAACAATATCAAACTCTGACAGGCAACAGAAGAGTGTTAGCCATGATTAAAAAAACATCAAGCTATAGTTTACAATTAAAGTGTACTCAAGTATTACTAAGTATTTAGTACTACTATTCATACTACACTAGACTCCATGTCTGGAGGAACCTTGGTTATTTGTGTTTTTACTACATGTCAGAATCAGATTCAGCTTCATCTGTCGTGTATCAAAGCCCATATCAGGAATTTGACTGTGGTTTTATACAAAGAGTGACTAAAAACATGACAGATAAATAAGACAGTGATTTAGGAGCAAACAGTATGTGGCCACCCTTCCTACCCTGCAGGAGGTGCTATGGATGCAGTTGAAAAATCTAGTTACAAGAGGAGTTTTATGAATTCCATCAGATCAATTCAGTTTAAATTTCATATTATTTTTTTCATGAATTATGACAAATTGTTTATGTTTCTTTTTCCCGGAAAAACAGAAGTTTAACCACAGTAAAGTTGGTTTATTCCTTTAACCGCACATATTGTGATGCCTTAACCCAAGATCTAAACATTTGAATATCATATTACGATAAAATAGTTTTCAGTAAAGTATTACAAACAATAATAAAATGTATTTAGTGCAATGTACTGCAACTGTTTTTAGAGAAATATTACAAACTTAATAAAATTAAAAAAAAAAATACAACACAGAACAGTGGCTTTTAGTGAAATATAACTCACAATGAAAATTTCAATTTCAATGCAGTAAAAGCTCTGCCACTTAAAAACTGTAAAAATACACTGTTATTTTGACAAAGAAATTTTACTTCAGGTAAAGTTTCAGCCAAAGGCTAATGAATGTGTTGCTCTTACCATCTGCGACAAAATGCTCCGGCACATGGAGGGTAACCTTGACTGTGAGGGGGCAGGATTCCTGCGTAGCGTAGACAATGGCAAAGACACATGTGCTGATGGTGATCAGTGTCAGGGTGACCTTGTTTAGGGGACTGTGTGGGTGGCCTAAAGGTAGAGGAAAAGAGGAGAGAAAACCTTTATTAGAAAAGCACATTTTAGAGAGAGGAGAGAAAAGAGGAACCTTTATTAGAAAAGCACATTTTAGAAAAGCCCTGATGAAAACTCTCCATTTTGTATATAAACACATTGGATATGCAGCTTAGCTCCACCACCTTGCCTTCATACTTTGTGTGAGTGGAATATTTAAAACCGCGCAAAATCCTTGAATTTACAGTTAATTGTTTTCTTCTGATTTATGACTCCGTCCAGGGTCCAGGTTTGGCATGCATAAGTAAAAGATGGCGTAGACCTCCGGTGCCCAGAAACACTGGTCCACGTGATGTATGATCCTATTGCCTCTGACAGCGTTATAGATTGGTTGTTTTGGTTGCCCTTTGGCTCTGTCAGACCTCCCTATTTCCACGGCAGGATATGGGGAATGAAATTAGCCACTTAACCTCTGGCTACTGAAATTTATCATGGGAGAAGCTCTGCCTGCTAAAAAGAGGATTACTGGAATGGAAAAGGGCTAAAGTGTTGAAATAATTTCACTAAATCTCACCGTCTAAACGTATTCCATTCTGTTCTGCTGAAAATACCCCCCGTGCCCTTTTATATTCAACTCAAGGGCACATCACACATCTCAGACTCCCGGGGCTTTGGAAAAAAGGCCAAATATTTACTCGGAGAGCTGCTCAGTGTGTCTCAAGAAGTGTGTAAGTTTGTTAGAAAAGTCTAATAACAGGCAGCCTATTGTTGTTGTTCTATTTCAGGCACAAGAGCAAACAGAGTTTAAGGCTGACAAAACTGTGACTTTGGGGAAAGTATAGTGAAGAAATGTCTTTGCTGTGTGGATTATTTACTTTAACTGTCTAATGATTCAGATTTTTCATCCAGAGTAGCTGTGGATTGTTAGTGAATAATCACGATTAATTGTGTCAAATAATAAAAAACAGACAAAAATATAACTGAAATTTAGCTTCATAGCGTTTGTGGATTTTAGTCGTTTGCGTATCATGAACAATTGTGTAGAAAACAATGAGATTTTCTTTTAAAAACTCAGTGAAACTCATTTGAAAAAAAACCAATTTGTTGATTCATACTGGTTGCTCTGCAGTAGAAACCTCATTCGGTTATTTTCCCGATGGTTTGTAAAAATTGCGTATATGTTGGATACAAATATTGATGGTATTAAATAAACCGACCTTTGACCCCTTTGTACTTCAAGTGTCAAATCAGTCAACGGGGAAATAAAAGAGAGTAAAACGGGAGATGGTACTCAAGGACAATGTTAGGATAATGAGTGTCTCTGCAGTGAGTGACACATCCAGCACAGTCGCAATTTAGCGACGAGGGGACGGGGACAAAGCTGTCTACAGCAAAAAAAAGGAAGGGCAGATAATCCCTTTGGGGTATGGAGGGAGTCGTTGGACATCTGAAGGGTTCCTTCAATCACTATAAAAGCCCACTGAGTAGACAAAAGCTTGTACACTCACGCTGCAAACCACTTACTATATGGCTACAACACTTAGTCTGTGCTCTTGTGCCGTCTGAGAGGTGGCGGGACTTTTTTTTTTTTTTAATTCGCTGCTCATCTTCTGAAGAAATCCCAGCCTCTTCATCCAGGCTCGGGTTTCCAGAGCACAGACCGCAGGCAGTGGCTTTACTGCTTTCCAAGTCATCGAAGCACAATGCTGTGTGTCATAAAACCTTAGTGTCTATAAAGTTGAATCTACAGTTTGGACAAGGACCTTTACACCTCTGAACATAAATCCTTGTGGTGTACAGTTAAAGAGAAAATCACTCCGGTGTTTACGTTTTCTCAACAACAAATATGAAGGTTAAATCAGACTTTTTATTTTAAATTAAGATCATGCTTTTATTTTCTAAAGCTCTCCCGATCATGTGCACTCAAATACCCGTTTTTCGGCGTGCTGTAGTCTCTCCTATCACATATCACACTGTAGGACGGGGAGTTAAAATCAGCCTTCATCATCACGGTTCGTTGACTCAGCTTTGCTTATCACCGAGCCTCCGTTTCCATCAGCTCATATATCTGATCTGAATGTCATGGAGTGGTGCCACGGGACAGCGGTGTGTTGTCCACCAGGAGAGTGGGACTCACTTTTTTAACTCTCGTCTCGCTCCTTGTGTCCCCGTAGCTGAGCAAACGTAGTGTGTATGTTCAGTTGCACGTCTCCGCTCACCTTTGATGCGTCTCCGTCCTCGGTGCTGTTCTGTGTAGAACTTCATTTGACCGTCATCTTCAGGCTCTGATCCTGATTCTCCTTGGGGTCCGAACACGCCTCCGGGTGCTGGCAGTTACATGATAAGAGAGAAATCGAAAAGTCAATCAATGAAATGATCTGTTTTTTTTCCTGAGTTTTGTAAGTCAGAAAGGTTAAAAAACACAAGTGCACGGTCAACGAGTGAATGATGACCTTAAAAAAACTGGTTCACACCGTGGAGTCACAAGATGGTTACAGCTACGCAGGAGCACTAAGAGGATGAGGTTTACTTAAAACTGAAAGTGTGTTTATGGCCCTGCAAAACATGCATCCAAAAAAGGTGGAACTTCTCCTTAAAATGCAATAAATATCCAGTCAAATGAATTCAAAAACCAACAGAAGAGAAGAAAAGCACTAACAGTTTTGGGAATCAGTATTTTAGTATTAAAAAAGGATCCATCAAATGCGTGGAAAATTAGATGTTAGATGTCATTGATCAACTCATTGTAAGCAAGAACAATATTAGGACAGATTTACATACGTTGATGGACATCACATCAATTTGGAAGAAAGTTGAAAAAATATTTTTGAGTAGCAATATCTTTGATGGCCACTAGGCGTGAAAACGTTAAAAGTTAAAAGTTTTGATAAGTCATGGTTTCAAAACGTGCCCCTAAAATAAGAACTTTGAGGATCAAAAACTGAATAATCCGTGGCTAGGTCCGATTCCATTGTCTTACGTTACGTCGGTGTTTCAAAACGTGCCCCTAAAATAAAAACTTTGAGGATCAAAAACTGAATAATCCGTGGCTAGGTCCGATTCCATTGTCTTACGTTACGTCGGTTTCTCAGAAAACTACGACGAGGTCACTTTAAGAAGACGGTTTTGTAATCCTACAGTTTATTCTGCAAAATCCAGGCTCCACAGACAGCAGTGTGAGGTAAATAATGAACGACATGGTGTGCACATTGACTGAATTAGAAAGTGTGAATGTACATTTCTGACGAGTACACAAATCCAACAAACAAACCAAAAATGCCTGTAAAAAGCACCAATTTATTTGGGACTGGGACGGCCTATGTGGCAAATGTCGGCCAATGAACGGCCTCTGTTTGTAGGAAATGAGAAAAAAAAAGTGTGCTTTCTTTGCAGATGATGTCATTATTTAAGTAACAGACAAAAAGTATGTTTCATGATCATTTTTTTTTAACAATTCAGATTGAAATAAGAGCCAGATAGATATAGTCATTCATTCCATTATTTAATGTATTATTATTTTAAATTAAAAATCTTTCTTTGTCCCTTACACTATTGCGTTCGTGGCTCAAGTTAAAAAGTGTGTAGCTAACTTCGATCATTGAAAAACTAAACGTTTTCAGAGATATGACCGTGCTTCCTGCTGCCTTTACTTTGTGATTAGCACCTTGACAGACGAGTCGCTAACATTTGAAATGCACGTCTCACTGTGTACAAGAATTTTTTTTTCTCTTTGGGTGAATCAATACCTGATTAACCTTGGTGGTGTGCGGTCATGATAAAACTGTTATTCCATTTTTACTTTCTAGAACTTTTGAAAAGGTCAGGCTGATTTTGCATGCTTGAACTGTAGAGTTTTAATTCTTCAGTGGTAAAATATATACTTTTCAGCTTCACTTCACACTGAGACCAATCAGCTGGGTCCACAGAAGTCTACGAAGTTGTACTTGAGTTTGAAAAGGGCAGGTATCTCCCGGATGTCAATCTACAATATGAACTTGTGGTAAATTGGATATCAGGTGAAGACTATATTTAGGACTGCGAGCTGAATGGATATTTTAACATGGTACAAATGACACCAGAAGTCCTTTTTTTCTTAAGAAATGCAGATTGGCGTTTCAGCTAGGATTACGTTAAAGCAGCGGGAAGTCGTGCCCTGGCCCCCGCCCCACTGTTTCCCTTCACCTCTGTTGTTATGCCACCTCTGCATATGTATTTCCGTCACCTGTCTTTTGAGCTAATAGGAGATATAGTATGTATCCTTAGACAAAGGGCTGGAAGTGTATTCATTCTTTGTTCGTTGAGTGTAGAGTAAGAAACATGAATGATCTGTCATGTCAAGAGATACTTTTTAAAATAATAAAAAAAAAGGACTATTTTTGGAAGTTGGTCTCTTTTTGGAAAATGCGTGTCACAGCTGCTAAGCCATGAACCCATAGAAATACGCCCCTGCTTTTTTGGGAGTTAAAAGCCCTTCTTGTTATTACCTCATACACCTGTACTGCACTTTGTTTGACAAAGACAAATTTTGCACTTGGACTTTATTTAATTTTGTAATTGTTTAATTTCAAGACAAGGACAAAAGAGAGGTCATGCTTTTTACCTAATTTGTTCAAGTCACAACAGAAATAATAGAAACAGCAGATACTTTTGCTTTGTCACGTAGGATGATTGCATAGGCTGACATACGCCTGGGAGCCATAATGAAGGGCAAAAAGTTCCCAGAAAAAAACAAAAAACAACAGAAAATGAAAGAAAGCAATTGCAGCACAATCCAATGCTTGGCATAAAAATCTGAAAATGTAAACAAAGCCGTCTTCTGCTAATAGTGCCACTTGACAAAATACTTGTCCGCTCCACTTGCCAGCTACTTTCTGCGTGAACTAGCTGGCGAGTTTTACCGATGTAACCACGATATGCTGTGGTTCAAGGACATCGTGAATCAAGGATCTGTACATTTTTTATTACTATTTTAACTGTAATTTTACAGTGAAAATTATAATAAAAAAAATAAATCTGACATTGATTTTTGCACGAACACCTGACCATATTTTTTCTTCTTCAACAGGTTCTTGCCGACTTCCTACGTCTCCATGACTCCCAGGCAGACAGAGTGAACAAAGGACACTCAAAGGAGTGAAACGTGAATTCAACAACACTGATCTCTCTGTCATTTGCATGTTGCTCCATATGCATAAAGGACAGAGTAACATTTCACGGATCACACAAAAGGCTGAGCTGACAGGCCCCCGTGTGTGGTGTGTGATCTGGCTGACAGCTGAATTGTGCTCCCAGGCTGCAGTACAGGTTTGATAAATAACCCACGCAAGAATACGTCTGAAACACGGTGCAGCGGTCTTTAGAAATCTGGCCCAGGGTCTTTTCCATTTCATACTTTTCTTTCAGTTTTCACAACATTTTCTTTGCTTTCAGTCCGCATGTTCTACCTTCTCCATCTCGCTTCAGCTCCCACCCCTGCCCGCCATCACGTCCCTGAAAAAAAACAGATCACTTGAAAATATCAAGACCCAGAACACAAGGACCGAACTCTTACATGTCCACACTACAAATTTCTTCTCCAAGGACAGACGCTCTTTAGTTGTTGAAGTTTCAAAGTTCACTGGACATCGGCAGAGCTAACATTGTGAGCCCTCCATTCAAAACTGACAAAAATACTTTGAAGATCTTATCCTTACTAAGAAGTGGAATCCAAAAACTTTTAATTTAAATTGTACCATCCCTGTCTGGGTACAGGTATAAAGTAGCTCATTCCTTAAATCTTTGGCCAAGACTAGGGATAAAACACCAACATCTTAAGTTTGATAGGGACTAGGGGATGTCCGATAATATCGTCTGATATTAGCATAATTATGTAATACCGGTAGGAATCATGATTGGTTTTTCCTCCGATAATGAAAACCCAATAACGCAATGCATAGGTTTCCAGATGATGCAACCTAATGAGAACCCAATGAAAGTTTATTGCCATGATGACACAGCAGTGAAATGTCTCCTCTGCCTTTGACCCAAACAGCAGTTGATATTGTATCGGTTGATATCGGAATTAAGTGTTTGGACAATATCGTCAAAAAGTAAATATCGGACATCCCTAACACACACACCCATTGGTAAATACTTAACAGGTTGTTGGTGTGACATTTCTTTTGACATTTTGACATTTTGTGCTGGACCGTAAAACCCTGTGTGATTCCAAAATAAGGTCTATTTTTTTTTCCAGCAAGGCTGGTACGGAGCTGAACATTTTGTGCTGGACCGTAAAACCCTGAAGTCCGCGCTTCAAAGACAAAGCCTTTTCCAACACTGAGAGAGCAGAGGGTTCAGACCGTTTTCATTCAATAAGAGCTTGATAGGTTTAAAGATGGGTAAACAAATAGAAAATTATGGAAAGTTACCACAGCATTAGCCTGTACCCTTAGCTAAACTGAATAGCAACCAAGGGTGGAACAGTTAGAGTTGCGGTAAAAATGGTAATAGGTCAAATCGTTTGACCATCAATATTCATAGTTATTATTTTCTGCAAGAGTTAATTTAAAAGAAGTGTAGTTGAGAAGGCAAATATCGGTTGTTAGCGGTAGCACACAAGTTCCTTTTACTGATAACTCTTGTGATGATGTTGGAAAAAAAAACATTTTAAATTTAGCATTCTAGGAAAACTATATAAAGGAAAATAATTGATCATTTCGCCTTTTGGACCAAATGATGGCGGACATTTTCCATCTGCTCCTTAAAAACCCACTGTTGTTTGTAATGTAGAAGCATCCTCAGTCCACAAGTGAGGTCCTGTCTGCTGTGACAGACTCCAGCTCTATTGATCTTGGACTGAGTGTCTGATCTTGTAGTGCTTTTAGATATTTCCATCCTCTTGTGTTCCATCATTTTCCAGTCCTGTTTGGTTTTTTTTTGGACTGTTTGTGCCTTGGGTTGGCGCCAGCTTGTCATGGCTTGTCAAGTTGGGATGGATGATGGAAATGTGCGCTATGGTGAAACAACGCACAGTCTTGTGTGTTGTCGCGGTTTCCGAAACAGCACAAGGAAAACTTGACCGCACTGATAATTTACCACAACATTTTAACTAAATGCTGCTAAAAATGATATTCAGCAGTCGGCAGTCTACATTATATATACTGTATATGTGGGTGTGTGTTTGTATACAGTGTATGCAGATACACATGCAGATACATACATACATACAAATACATGTAAACACACATATATATGCACGTGTGTTTGTATATTTGTATATGCATGTGCATAAACACACGCATACATATGCAAGTATACATACACACACGCAGCACCACAAATAAAC